CGATGGATGGGGGACTGGAGCCAAGTGCCACTCGGGGGGCGGTTGTTCAAGGGCAGAAACGGATTCTCTCCCACCTCTCCAGGTAGGCGCCCGTCTGCCAGGGCAGGCTGGTGCATGCATGCGTGCGTTTCTGTGCATGTGTCCTGGGCTCCAGCTGTCCTCACACCGCCCTTCAAAGAGGAAACCCCTTAGATAGGACCTGTCAGCCACCTGCTTCCCTAACCCACGATCAGAGACCCTCCTCCTCCTCAGCAGGGCCAGGTTCATAGGTGTTCACTAGAACTTCAACCTTGTAAAGGCACATTTCAGGCCAGGCCAGGACCCACCTGAGGCCTCTGGGGTCCCCTGGGGGCCTTGCCCCGTGTCCCTGGATGTGGCCCAGGCCTGAGTGCCAGGGATGGCCTCTTACTACAGGGCCCATGGGCCTGGTACCCATCCCGAGGAAGGAATGGACACAGCTGGGGCACGTGCTGGGCAGAGCCAGGTGGCCACCCTTTACCCTGAGCAGGCTCGTGCTCCCGAACCAGTGGCTGCAGGTGCGAAGGCTGCTCCTGGGTGCTCAGCGGGCCCTCTGGAGGACCACCGTGGTTGCCAGAGCCGCTCCTTGTGCCCATGCCTATGGGACACACATGGGAACTGGACTGCAGGCCACTTCAGTGTCCAAAGAGGCTGTGTGGAGGGGGAAGGCCTATCCAAAAGCAAGGGCAGGGGGGGGGAGGGAGCACTGGGTTTCAGCTATTATTGAAAGCAGCCCCCCCCCCATAATCAGGGGGTGCTTCTAGGGACACATAGGGCGCAGGAGCTGGGCCAGCTGCAGTGACTGAGAGTGGGCCGGGGGTGCAGCATGGGCCACACCCACTCTTGGCCTGCAGTGGCCCTGGCTGTCGATCCCCTTTTCATGCTCACCTTGCTTCAGGGGGCGGTGCAGCTGCCCGTCCATTTCCCAGGTGAGGACACAGGTTCCTGGAGACTGAGCGGCCTGCCCAGAGCCCCACCCAGGCCTGCGGGCCTCGCCCGCCGCCGCCTCCTGTCAAGCCAGACACACCTGTCAAGCTAGACCACGCCAGGCAGCGGAGAGGCCACAGGCACTACCCGAACCAGAGCCTGGCAGGGCCCAGAGGAGATCCAGGCCAGGGCACAAGACGGCGGGGGGCTTTCCAGGGGTCCAGAGAGAGGGGCTGACCTGCAGGGATTGGAGCAAGGAAGACAGCTGGCCAGCCTCTTAATCAGGTTTATTTTCTTCTAATGAGACAGATTAGCATTTCAAAGGTTTGCATTCTACACTCTTACAAACTGGAGTGATTAGCATCAGAAACACAAAAACATCGCAAGACCTCAAGAACACAAATAAATACCAAACGAACCCACACGCAACGTACCGCCGGCAGGCGTCTACGACGTCATAATGCTATCAGAGTCGGACATGTGGTTAACCCCGGTTAACGACATGCTTATTGCTCACTCGCACGGTCTGGGTGGCGGCTGTGGTTCTTCAAAGAGCAGGATGTGCACGTGTGTCACTGGGTGAAGTCACCGGGACTGTCGGGATGGGGCCACGCGGTGGCGGCGGCGAGCGCAGGCAGTGCGCGATGGGACTGGCCTTCTTTGGTCTTTGTTTGGGGGGGAGAACTGAACACAAGAGGTGGGCCATCGGAGAAAAGAACACGATTCAGACATGCACACTTGTTGACGCGGTGCGCACGCACGCACTTCCTCGGGCTGAGCTGTTCTTCCTTCCGACAGAGATCCTTGGGGATCAGGCTGGCATTGGGGTTGTCCAATTGAGTCATTGAGTTTGCTGAGAGACCACCTACTGCCTGGCGATGGG